AGGGAAGTGGATGCAGTTGCAATGGAGGCTGAAATTGAGTTTACTCACTTGAGTTAGCATTCTTGATGGCACATCTAAATTTATTACTTTCTCTTAGGAAAGTGGGAGGAAGTGATGATGGGGCTTGGTAAACTTTTGCAGTTGATTATATTCTGTGTTGAAGATGGAGCTGAAACTTGAATGGGTTGATTTCTGAGGGATAAATGAGAATATCAGAGGAGAATCTTTACAAAAGGACTGAATGTTTGGGAAGAGAGCAATATCTGATTTAGATGCATCTGTTGTCTTTCCTAAAGGAGGAGAGAAGCTTGATCGTTTGTTTGGAGGATTTGAAAGAGAAGGATGTTGTGGTCGCTTACCAAGTTTAAGTTGTATTTATGTAGTCTTCATTAAGATGTGCATTATCATCCAGTAAATTTGTTTTGACCTAGTTTTATCATACAAGTGGCCAATGGTTGACGAATGCTCGGGATTTTGCGGATCTTCTGCTATTGTGAATATTGTTTATAGGCTTTGGTGGCTACAAACTTTTCAGGCCCGCAAGTTGCTACACCATAGCATCTTACTCGAAAAACCACCTTGTCTAAACAGACAGATAAAGAAACATAAACAGTTGATGTGAGATTTCTTCGCATCTTTTGTTGAAAAAGATATTTGCATCTTTTTTTACATTCCATTGAACTCTGTTCTTCTTATTACTTACAATTGCCTTCTGTGCTAATGCAGCTCGAGTTAGTTCAATTCCTGTGGTTAATGATAAGGATTCTTTGTTGGATATCTACTCAAAAAGGTATCTTACATTGTACTCATTTCAACTCATTGCCATTTTTATCTCATAAATTCTGGACTCGAAGGTGTGATTTGCTTTTTCTTACGTACAGTGACATAACAGCTCTGGCCAAAGACAAAGTATACACGCACATTCAACTTGATGAAATGACTGTATACCAGGTAATACTACTCTGCTTCTGACCTTCTGTTTTTTGTTATAAAAAGTTTGACACTTTCATTCCTTTGGCTGCTGCTTATCTCATATGAACGTATAAAACATTCCAACTGAAGAAACTGAAGAAGATTTGAAGGACACCGCGAAAAATAATATTTGAATTTCATTTTCTTCAGCTGTAGCAACTTCAGATTTAGATCCCTTTAGAAACTTGTAATTTTTGGAGCACAAGGCTAGAATCCAGCTGCTGCTACTTAACCCCCCTCCCAGATGGGAAAAGTGCTTTTGAGCTTAGCAAAACATATTTTGGTGCTTCCGTCTGTTTCATTCAGTATATATATGAAATAAAAATGTCTTTGCTTACATAGAAGTGTGAGCTATTTCATTAGTCATCCAATATGCTTGTTAAATCATAATTATGGGGTACATGCGAACTAATGATTTTCCAAGCATAAAAAACTGGAACCAAACTAAGCTTGGTAATGCGGTGTCTAGATCCTTATACTACTAAATATTTGACAGAGTTGGGGGCTTTCTAACATGAAGAGATCATGGACACGGGCTAAATACTCCTGCTAATAAAATAGAGTGATCCAAATTACAGTTTTAAGGATCTTCTGGTATTTTTCACTTGCATGAGACTAGCAGGTCCAACAATTTTAAAATCTAAACCAATTAATTCTTGCGGCATTTACATACATGCCCCCAATTTTTATGTATTTACATACCTAACACCTTAACTTTAGTGTTTACATTAATACCGCCCATGATTTTTATCATATAAAAAATATCACTATTTTAACTTTGAAAAGATAAAATAGACCTGTTCATGCATAGGTAAGGTGGCATATATGTAAAAATAGATGCTTAGGTGTTAGATCTCGTTAAATCTGTAAATACATGAGTAGAGTGTTATGTATGTAAATCTTCCTTATTTCATTGTGCTGATTTCAGGCACTACAACTGGGGCAAGATTCTAATGGATTTTTTGGGCAAAGATGCCAGATGTGCCTAGGTACTGATACCCTGCAGAAGGTGATGGAGCGATTAGCAAACCCTGGTAATCTTTAGTTACCATTCTGAAACAACTATGGGGTGTAAGCTGTGTAATTTAAAATATAATTGATACAAGATATACTCAAAATATATAAATATTTAAGACTTTATCTATAAATTATTAAAAATATTTCAAATATGATATTTTTAATAATTTATATGTAGTGATTTCTTATTAATTATCTACTAAATGTTTGTTTTTTGTATAATTTATTATAATATTATGTTCTCTCTTTCTTAATAAAGTAGGCTCGTGAGCCAGCTCAAACTCCTAGAACTAAATTTGAGCTCTAACTCGATTAATCAATCAAAAGCCCAAACTCAATTTGAGGGTGGCTCCAACTTGACTCGACTCGTTTAACTAACTCTCTATCTCTTTTAAGCCTTAATTATTCTAATTTTCTGTTTTCGTCAGGCGTTCGGCGTGTCGTCATCGTAGAGGCCGGCAGCAAGCGGGTTGAAGGTATAATTTCGCTTGGCGATGTCTTCAGGTTTTTTCTCGGTTCATCCTAATCCATGATGAACCCGTCGGTTTATTGGAAAGGCACGACCTCTTCTCCATCTCGCTTCGATGTAATTAGTTTGGTTGTTCCTTTTAATTCTCCCACTTTTATTAGATTGGGCCTTCCAAATAAGAGCTTGGTACCTTCAACTGGGAGAATCCACAGGAGCTGTAAATGGGTTGATATTCTTTTTTTACCCCTCACGACCGATTGGTTTATGTTTTCATGTTCTTAATTTTTAATTTTTTTTTTTCAATGGAGGTTTAAAATGCTTTCAATTTTCTACGGACCATCTCTCTGTAGATCAAATTCAGGTTTGGGGAAAGTGAGGGAGGGAAAGTGAGGGAGGGAAAGTGCTTCTTTGTTCATGTATCTTGGGTTTCTGCAGCTCTAGTCGTTCATATTGTTTTTAGTATCCCAATTATGAAGTCATAATTACTTTTATTTGAAAGGATTTTTTTTTTTTTTGGAATTTTATTCAGTGTTTCAGAGCTAGTTTTTTTTTTCCTTTTTCTGTGAAGGATGGTATGATGATGTTTTAAGATTCGTGTGGGTCAGGCTGCAGTTTTTTTGTAATAATGATTGTAAAATTGTCGTGGAATACAAATTTTTTTTGACAATTGCTGAGTACTTTTTTTTGAAAAAAATTGCATAGCGTTTAAACTTTATGGATTGGGTTCTCAAAAGTTTGTTTTACACTATATATATATATATATTATATATATATATATATATATTTGGTTTCTGAAAAGCAGCAAGAAAATGTTAGTTAAATATATGTTTGTAAGTGGTCTGATAAAATAGCACTTATACAATCCAAATTTCATCAATTTAAGTACTAAAACACAATTTTTAGTTTTTATATTTGTACTATTAATGTGTTTCATGTTACATAAAAAATATGATCTTTTTTAACTTTTTAATGTATATTTTTATGCACAGGTAAGTGGTATGTAAAGATTAAAGAGTAGATGTAATGTAAGTACATAAAAGTTGTATTATATGTTTGTAAATTTTCATAAAACTAAAGCACCAATAATATATAACAGTATGAAATTCTGCTCTTTTTATATGAGGTTCTATGTTGAGCAATTGCAGCTCTTTGCAAAAGTCCTTTTTTAACTTTTTCAATCAGGCCTGATTGTAAAGCATAATTTTCGAACTACAGTTTTTAGCAAAAACAGGTCAAATGTAATTCTGCTAAAATGAAAAAATTATGATGTGGTAATGAATTATTGCCTCAAATGCATCCCGAGTCGTGAGAAAAAAAATTTGCGTGTAAGACGTACGCGTGCTGCGTATGTCAGGGAAGTTAGGATATTGAGAGGTTATATCCGCATTATGTCCCCTATAATCTCCCTGTAACTTACCTGTACCTTCTAGTAAGTTTTGCGATTCTATTTTTATATATTTATAAGTTACAGGTAGGTTATAGGATGTATAATGTAAATATAATCCCCCAATGCTCTGAATAACTTCCCTGATATACGCAACATTATGTACGTCTTACAAGTCATCGGACCAGTTGAGCACCAAAAAAAAAAAATAGTAAAAAAAATCATATGAAAGCGCCTCTGTATATTTGCACCTTCAACCGTGCATAAATTGTAAAATCTTCTCCTTAGGGTCAAACAATTGTCATATATTTTCGGTACCGGTAAACCTGGGCCAAACGATAAAAATGTTCCTATTCTCATCTCGAAGTTATACATTTGATCCATAAAATAGCACCTTTATTGGATACAGGGGATAAGAGTATGCACATCAAATCTGCCTATACTTTGCAGAAGCTTCACAAATTCAATAGGAAGATTTACATACCAGTCAATTCCCATGTATTTACTTACCTAACATGTAAAATAAATGTTTACATGCATACCACCATACCTATGCATGTTACGATCTATTTCAATATTTTCAAGTTAAAATGGATGTAATTTTGATGTGATATGAAAGATTCGAGTTGTATGAATGTAAAAAAAGCAAAGTACAGGTTTTAGACATGTAAATACATATGAATTGGGAGGTATGCATGTAAATGCCACTGCAAAAACGAAAAATAAACGTTATGCTAATAAAGTGAATATAGTAATAAAATGAAATTCTAAACAGAAGTTGCAGACATAATAGGTGATTACTGCAATGCCTACAAAATCTGAAACAACCTGCCATACAATCACATGAACAATCATACAACTGAATTAAAAAATAAAAAATATAATGCATATAATCGTACTTGCACCAAACAACACATACCAAGTAAATCTCAACTATGGTCACACTTAAAAGATATGACCCATTAGTCCCAACTCGAAAATAAGGGTTTAAACTCAATGACAATTCCCTAAAAGAAGTTGACTATAGTCAGAAGGCCCGGTCTCTACGTTTACTTAGAAGGGAACTGAGCGCATCAGGGTCTGCCACAGGAGCATTACACACGAAGTTTTGGCAGAGGTGAGCAACAGCAGCTTTGTTAGTCTGACAACATTTTGCCATAAAAAATATGTTCTGATTGTTACTCTTCCAGAATTCCATATCTTTTTCATTCCGAGGATCTATTTGAATTATCTACATTTTAGATCAGAAAAAAACAAAATAATTACCAAAAGAACCTTAAATCACAACTTGAATATTATCTTCCATTGATAGAAATCAACTTACAGTTCTGAATGGATCATATGATGCGTAAACTACAGCAACCATCTTCTTCATCTCCATGGAGGTTTTATCACCAACTAACACTACTTGTCTGGCTGGAACGCGAAGCATGTCTGCTGCGCAAGACATTAGAGGCACTGCTATGCTCTGTTCTTTCAAACGATTCTCAAACACTGCCTGTATAATTCAAGTAACATGGAGAAGTCATTTGCAGCAACCCAGCGGGGGAAATCTAATTGAGGAATGTAAAATAAATTGTTTTTTATGGGGCATAGGCATGTGCAGGCATACCACCCACTCATGCATTTACACATCTAACACCTAAAGTTCAGTTTTTTACATTTACACCACACAAATCTTTTGTTTCGCATAAAAAAATAACACTATTTTAACTTTTAAGAAAGGGAACACCTTTTTCATGCATAGAGAATGTGTCATGTGTGAAATTGAAGTATAAATGTTAGATAAGTAAATACATACGAATTAAGTGGTATGTATGTAAATCTGGCCGTGAGAAGGGAGAATTAGCAAGTTAAAAATCAAGTTCTCACCAAAAATTTGTTATGTTCTTTATGAAAGTAAAGACTCATTGTTTGCTAGAAATGAATTCGACCCTGCTAAAATATTTTGGTCAACTGAGATATTTTGTTAGAAATCATTTTTGAGGTTAATATTTTATTTCATTGACTCTTATTGGATCACTTTCTAGGAGTAAAATGTCATCGAGAAAGGCAGTTATAATGATTGAATTATATGAGGTATTTTAAATAAAGATGCGAGTGGCCTACTACATACTAAAAAACCTAAACTCAGCAATAACCGTGCAAATTTTCCAAACTAGCGTTAACATATGGTTTAGCTGAGTTTACAAAGTGATCTCCCACCAAGCAACATTGACATAGAGATAAGATGGTCATTCGTATTAACACAAAATTACTTGGAAGGCATTTGCCTTTTATTTCCTTACGAAGGGTAGGTAGTTTAGGACGGGCCGTTTGGTTTGCTGAAAATGATGCACTCCTCTTAAGCTTGTTCTCACTGTGATCTGCTTTATTATCTTTCTGAACATTTTCACATCATTCTCAAGTGTACTCCTACTGGCTCCTCCTATTGGGGGTAACTGTCTGAATGAAGGCAGGGACTTGATCTGATTATGCTATGTCTTCACCTTCAGTGCCAAGGTCTGACCACCACCCAATGAATAGCTTATGGCTATAGTGTGCTCCTTTGGCTTTCTTACCGCAGATTTCAACATATACTGGTCAAACAATGCTATGATCTCCACTGAAAATTCTCTTCGCTAGAGGTGGTTGAACTTTAAGAACATATTCTGACGATAGTGTATGGGTGGGTACTTCATTTACATCTAGGGCTGTCAAAACGGCTCGTTGTTCGCGAAAAACTCGTGTTCAACTCGTTAAGAAGCTCGTGTTCAACTCGTTAATTTCCTCAATTATATATATATATATATATATATATATATATATATATGTATATATATTTTGGCTCGAAATACCACTCATCAAGTTTATATATATATTAAATAGTATTTTAAAAAATCTAATTGACTATAAGGCTACAAAGATTTATAATCAATTAAAATATTGATTAAAAAAATAGAATAAAAATTATTAAATTAGATTCAAATGATGTTTTACTATAAATAATATTTTTTAAATCTTGCTCAAACCCTTATTATCTTATGTCTTATGACTACATGATTAGGGTTGTTAAAATGACTCTTTGTTCGTGAACAACTCGTGTTCGACTCGTTAAGCAAACGAGCCGAACACGAACATACTTTTTGAACTCGAAATATAAACGACCAGAACACGAGCTGAGCATGGCTCGCTCGTGTTCGGCTCGTTTACACTACACCCTTATTTACATCTTCATCTTCGCCTAAGTGGCGATCCTGTTCCTGCCTTCTCTATGTTTCACTCTCTTTCGATTCTCCTACCACAAAGAGACACACTTCTTCAGCTTTATAAAAGCAAGTTTCATTCCCATTAATTGGACTAAAAAATCCTCTCAGCAATCTGCAACCACTCAATGAAGTCATCCAAATTTGTTCTCCCAAATTAGATAAGTCGACCTAGGGTTGCGCTAGTTTATGCTTCAATCTGTGCTACCCCACCCCAGTTCTATCCAAGGAAGAGTAAGTGTGAAACTCACAAATAATCTTATGCTTCAATCTGTGTTTTATGTTCTTGTCTATCGGTAAACTTACTTGTGACACGAATTGTGTTACTAAACTCCACACCTAATTTGTGAGAATTTGAGATGATGGACTCGGTGAAAGTGATTGACAGTGCTGACATATATCATGAAGTTTATCTGGTTACTAGGTCTTTCACTTTAAAAAGACTGTCCTGCCATTCATAATCCTTTGAGTCAAGTTTTGTATTTGAGTCCGTTTCTCATTAGAGTCAAATTATGTTTGACATTTTTGCCCTAGGCATCCTAATTTTTACTATGTTGAAAAATTGTTTCGTCTTTTGTTTACCAACAAAAAAAACCTAGTTGTCATATGTAAGAAACTTGTTAATTTGCTAAACATACTCGACAAGTGTACCCAAGCCTGAAATACATACCAACACATCTCTTCTCTATGGTTCAAAGTGATAGTAGGGAGCCCCAAAAAAAAAAAAAAATATAAATGAGGCTAGGTGGTTTGTCACCTTCATAGATGATCACATCATAACCACTTGGACCTTTCTCATCAAGTAAAAATCCGAAACAACCAACATGTTTGAAACCTTCCACAATGTGATCATCACCCGATTTCACAGTAAAATTCAAATTTTCAAAAGTGATAATGCAAAATACTACTAAAACTCCACTCTTAGCCATTATCCAAAAATGACATTATTTAGATAAGCTCTTATGTTGATATATCTCAATAAAATGGTGTGGTTGTGAGAAAGAACAAACAACTTCTGAAGCTAACCCGTTCAATTTTATTTACTAATAATGTATCCAAACACTTCTGAGGGATGCAATTCTCACATCTACTTTGATGCCAAAATTTTTGTCCTTCATATGTGGCCTCCTTTCTTGGCCTCCCCTGATATTGAATTTCGAAGCGTTGGGGTCTGTCTTCCTTATCACTGACATCTTCCCTAGGGAACAAATTCATATCCTCATCCCTTTCTCCCATTCGACTCTCTAGATCGCGGTCGAGGGTAATCTCCCCTTAGGTTCCACCATCAATCTCCGCAAGTCTCTATTGAAGACGATGAAACTCTCTATGTATCTCTTCTCGGGTAGACTCGGGTCTGTATCTCCTTGGTGGTATGGTTAGAATTTTAGATTGTGAGAGTGGAAAGGGTATTTGGTGGTAGGAAAGAAAAAATTTGGTGAAGGATGCTTGGACACGGATGAATACTAGGAAACCCTATTGTAGAACTAGGGTTAGACTAGCTTTGATACCAATTAATATCAGAGTTAACCCAAACCACAATAGGAATCAAATATTATTACTTAAAAAAATGGGTTGTAATCAAGACCCAAAACACCAAAAAAAAATACAACACAAATCTCCGACTAGGGTAAGGCTGGCAGCCGGTAGAAGGGCTTGAATATGTGGTTGTAGTTTGGATGGGATTTGGCTGGTGAGCAGTTATAACAGGAAGGGGAGAGGAGGGGATGCGGCTGTTATAGGAAGGGTAGGGTAGAGCGACTATAAATGTAGGTAGAGAGAAGTATAGTGGCTAATTGAGGGGAGTGCAGGACGGGAACAACAAGGAGAACATGGCGACAAGTTAGAAGGTTGGTGGGGAAGCATGTTATGGTAGAAGCGGTTGCTGGGGAAGGGAAACCGACTGCTGGAGGAGGCTACAGGCAGAGGGGAAGATTGGGTGGCAAACCTGGATAGGGAGGGGAGTAGCGAGAGCAACAGGTGATGCACAAGAAGATGACAATGAGTAGGGAAGGGCAAATTGGGCGTGTTACATACCACCTCAAGATGAGTTATACCTGGAGCACCTTATCGCCGTTGCATATAGCTAGAAGAGAAAACTGGATGTCGGTGGCTGTCTTGACAAAAATCTCAAGCAAGACTAAACCCTAATGACCTAAAATTCTATATAAATAGTAGATAATTAGGAGGGGGAGGCCGCTCCCTTTGGGCGGCAATCCTTGCCCCAAAATAAGGGCGGTCGACCCTTGCACCCCCTTGGCTCTACCGGTCCAACTGTTCCCAGCCGGTCAACCCTTAGAGAGCCCTGTTAGTGAATGTGCACCAATTTCTACCACATTATCTCTAACTTCCTCCCCTTCATTGTCCATATTTCTGTAATAACATAAAATTAAAATTAGACATAATCATGAATTAATTTAATCAATCTAATTGTTCTTTTTTATTATGATTCAATCTAACGTCTCTAATATTACTTTTGTCACGGCCCGGCTTGATAGCATGAAATTAACTAAATTGGGAACTGCAGTCGGACGATATTAACATTTAATTTACTTTCCACATCTTTTCAAACTACTAATATAAAAGAGTCACTAGAATCAACAAAGCAAAATACACATAAAATTGAAACATCTATAAACAATAACACAGTTTGTAGACATCTCCAACCAACATATAACTGTATATCAGTACTCTAAAGAAAAAAATACAAAAATAAACTAAAATCACGTCATAATATAATACATATCAGTTGTAGTCATCATCCTGTAAACTAAGTCTCTCTTGCCAGACATAAATTTATAGTTTTCTTTTTCTGAAAGAAACCATTAAATTCAACAATAAGTTTTCCTGACTTAGTGAGTAATTATAATCTTAATATGTATTAAATTCATATGCAAATGTTATGTATAAATAATCAAAAGAAATATAGTTCATTATTTTATAAGACTGTAAACTTTTAGTTTAAATTTATCTATTTCCATTTCAATTTGACGGATCAGTTGGAAGAGTAGTCAGCCGTCCTATAGCATTGCATATAGCTCAAAGACGGTGTGCATGATGACAAATAAAAAGAGATGAACCAGCTTGAATAAGGGAAGGTATGGAGCACAACATGTTGAGGTAAGGGGAGAAAATATGTTGATTCATACACATGAGTGCCAATGAGGATACGAGAGCGGGAAGTGAGAGCAATGCCTAGGGTAAAGTGTGAGCACGAAGTGAAGAGTTCATGAGAGGAGAGGGTGTAGCGTGAACT